TATATATATATATATATATATATATATATATATATATATATATATATATATATATATATATATATATATATATATACTATGGTGTAGTGTGTGCTTACGCCATCTAAATTCTAAAAGAAACGGTACATTATTGTCTGCGGTATTTTTTTGTTTTCGAATATTCATATATATATATATATATATAGTATATACAATTTTCTCATTTTCCGGTATTTATATTATAATATATTAGTCAATGAAAAGCTCACAATGGCGTGTCCACGTAGTATTCATTGAGTACAATAAATCTGGGAATTCGTACGCTTCGCGACGCTCCTCGCGCATAGTGAATATGCAATCTACTTCGCAGAATATAGAGAACTTTTCGTTTCTTTCGATCGCGATTTATTTAGGGGATGTCAATCAGTTTTCTTTTTACCTTCATCGATCATCTATTTTACAGACGAGAGGAATAAGACCAATAGAACATACAATTTGATTCGAGGAGGATCGCGAAAGTAACTCTGCTCTCGACGCCGACATTACATCGATGTCGTGCTAACATTTAATGTATTTATCATTTTTTTATTTCTTGGCAACTAGGCAAGCTCGGTCGTTCACGGAAGGCATCGTATGGTGCTTATTAAATCGTTGCTTCAACAATCATAACAATCTTTATCGCTCTTATCTTTTCCTTTCTCTCTGCCCGCTTTTTATTATTTTCTTTTTTTAAACTATCCACGCTGCGTCTGTTACTTTATCTCGTTATTTTTCGAACGGGAGATAACGGCGATAACCGATGTCGATACACGAAAGCTGGCGCGACTTACATACGCTTTACGTTTTTTTGCTTTTTTATCCTTTTCGTTATTTAGTAGTACGTACATATACTGAGGCAAGCGGGTCGCAAAAGCTCCCGAATCGGAGGAGAAATATAATATATATACTTTATATTATCTATACGTATATAGTATTGTCTTCGTAAGTTCTCTGCCTTTCCCTCCTGATGTCCTAACCCGTTGTTGGTCATGTAAAATCACTTAAAGCAAGGATGTGAATAATCGAGTACCGAAACCGGTATAAATCGCGGTGACTTACCGCAAGCTCGCGGACTTGCCGAGATTCCGTCGTCGGTCTCGATTTCTGATGCGAATGCAAAGCGGAACGATTCGAACGCTAATTACCTATTCAATCCAACGTGAGAAACGAGACGTAGAAGTTGTAGAACGGACGCACGAAAAAAGCACGGAAGGTGGAAACTTATTACTCGAAAGTAAGAGGTAAGTGAAGATAGAAGAATTTCTGACGAGCGTGCACAATGAGTCGAGCAAGTACCATACGCGACGAGTTATTAACGAGTGGATACAGTTAGGAACGACTTGTCGCCTGTAATACAAAGGAAATGCGATTGAGAATCACTCGGTGCGAGTAGTGCGGACGATATTGTTAAACGAACGTGAACGAATTCGCGTCGCGACGAACGTCTAAGAGTAAGAGAAGAAACACGACAGTTCTATATGCGCTTGTATCGAATGTGAGGAAGAGATCCGTTGCAGTCGAAATTCGCTGCTCGATCGATTAGTGTACTATCGTATCCGTACAGTAATATTACATTATAATTATATAAAAATATATTTCTTAATCATTTTAACACTATAATAAATGAGTATTATAAGCATTATAATCTGCACATCGTTCTTTCTGGTTTTTTTGTTATACTCGTCTTTCTTTCGTAATTATAGTGGAGACACGATGCCTGTCGCGGATAACCGAAGCTTCTACACGCGTCGAGGAAGTACAACCGTGACGTACCGGTTTGCCGTATGCCGCACGTACACATACTGGCAAAATTTTTCAATATAATACGGTAATATCTGTATCATTTCTCTCTCTCTCTCTCTCTCTCTCTCTCTCTCTCTCTCTCTCTCTCGCTCTCTCTCTTTTCCTTTTCGTCTTTCTATTTATCAATAACAATATCACTTATCACTTGTGGTACTCGTGTAAATAAAAAGACGCATAAACTGTTATAAAATACATTCTCGAGTATTATCAATCTTGTAGAGTATATATATAATATATATATATATATATACGTCCTTATATCCCTACGCGTCCGAACAAATAAAATCATATAAACGTCATAATATAATAATTTCATAATAGTATAATGTGTTGGAAGCATTTAATATCATACTTAGACGTTTACGGTGTATTCGGGCCTCGGATTTCGGTGAAGAGATTATTGCGAGGTTTTGTTGTTACGCGTTTCTCTCATTCGTCGTCTCGTACCTCCTCGAACAACACGAAATGATAAAAAGAAACATGTTTAAAAGATATTCTAATTTTTCGGACGTCTTTCAGATATATTTCTTAGATTCTTTTATAGATCTTCCGTCTTTTTTAGATATATCTTTTATGTCTTTTGGAACTTCGTATTATTCATGTCAAAATACCGCCGAACTACGCTTCGCCACGCAAAATGAAGGCGTCGCGAGGAAAAATCATTGGCTGTTTAGACGAAAGCGAAGTCGGAGGAATTATGATAAAATTACAAGCGATGCGATATTATTCGTTGCAAGAAGAAAACGGTAAATAAATGAGGCCCAAAAAAGAAAAAAAAATGCAAAATAAAAATAGAAAACGGATCCTCGCGGAATGTGTAGCGCACTTTCTATGTACTATGTCTCTGCATAGTTTTGAACGATAATCGTTACATTTATAGGAATAATGCGTTATCAACTTGTCAACTCGTAAGTACAATAGTAAAAAAAAAAAAATCGCTCGCATGACATCAATCACCGACCCGCATGGCCCTTAAAATTCCATGTTTCTCTTTCTCTCTTTTCCTTTCTCTCGCTCTCTATACATATATATATATATAATAATATATAATAATTACTATATAGCCCTTTCTGTCACGTGAAGTTATCCATCGTAAAGAGGCGGAACATGAGATTCTAATCCCCGTTTTACGTCCAACTGTTTTCTTTCTTTTTAACGTTAAGCTCAATTAACAGCTGAGTCCAGACATATTTGATTCGGTAAACTCAATATATCCATCTTTATCCGTGTAGAACGAGCGCTCGTTTTACACTGCGCGCGATCTCCATTCTTATATCTGAATTATATCATTGAAACCTGAGATGTAAAGTTATTTGTCGAGACAAGCACCGTCTTTTCGCGAAACGAATTTACCGAGGGGATACGTCGCTATGCGTTTTCCGATCGTCAAATCTGACTTGGTACATTATTTAGATTTGTATGCTACTTACACGCGAACTTTGAGAATGGACATCGCGCTCCTCATGCGGACGTGGCTAACAAATTTGTACATTAATTAGTTCCTTATTATTGTCATGGTATATATAGTATCTTGTTAATAAAAATACTAAAATATTATGTATATTATATATTATATATAGATTATTGCATTATGCATTTTTGGTACCGTTACACGTGTTTGGTTTATTTGTCGACTTGCGCTTACCACGAATAGTTTCCTTTCGTTCGCATTAACTAGCTGTTTCTTTTCCCTTTTTCTTCATGACGTAGAATAGAAGATTAATAAAATCTAAAGCTAATCCAGACGATACAACGACACTTGTCTTAATACACGAGTTATCACCCCCATATAATCCCGCGAGATTTCGATTCTTTATTCGAATCAATATCTTACTTTATACGCATTATTAAATCTTTGTGATCTCGCGAGTTTTAGCTTGCGATTCCTATCGTAATTTCCGATTCTTCAAATCGCATCGTTCAAACCATTACTCGCATTTACCTTTCTTTCTTTCTTCGAAGTACGAACTGGCTCAATATACAATGCCATGGTTTTGTTATGTGTGATGTTGCAGCATTTAATACATACTATACTTATAGATTCACGGAACATCGCGATTTTTTTTTTAAATTCGTACCGAGTGGAAGATAGAAAGGCGTTCTAGCGTTTCCTTAGGTTTGTTCTTTCGACTTGAACTGGCTGCACTAGTTCACGAAGTTTGCACTAATGCGTTCTTTCGATCAGAACAGTGCAAGAAAATGTGTTCTTTCGAACAGTGCAGGCTGAACTAGTGCAGCGAGTTCAGTGAACTGACTGCCCTAGGTCTGGAGGTAGAGCAAGCAGTGCAGGGCAGCTAACCGAAAAAATTTAAATTTGTAACCTGTAAAATCGGTATACCTAGTTGACATTACGTAGAAGAAATAATCCGACGACGGAATCTATAAACAGTAAGTAAATACTTAAATATATAATAAATATATAATGTAGATAAATATATAATAAATATATAATGTAGAATGACATAAAAGAAGTATTTAGAATGTTATCCAAACAGCACAAAATATCCGAAAGACATCCTGGGAAGGCTCTTGGACGTTTTTTCGGAGGGATTTGTTGTATGGGTATCCAACACAAAACAGTTTTTAAAAGAAATAGAATTGTTCAACAAAACATAAAATGCTATAAGTGCGAAAACATGACCATAAATTGATCTATGTTATTTAATCCAGCCATGTTGTCCGACATCTTACACTGCTCTAACTTGCTCTTACCCGTTCTTTTCAGACCCATATGTATCTTTGCACTGGTCTGCACTATCTTGAACTTTCTTCAACTAGTACAGTTCCAGTGCAGCCCTAGGTCAGGTCGAAAGAACAAACCTCTGGTGTTTTCACCTTCTCGCAAGATGAAATCTTGGAAGAAAAACTTACGCGTAAAAGATGGAAATACTAGACGTAAGGAGAAAAGACTACCTAGGTAAGCGAGCGAGCCTTAGGTGAGCAGGCGGAGTACTCCTATTCTCTGTAGGGCTTGCAGTAAGAGTAACGATGATTCATATGCTGGCTATAGGAGCCGGAGTGAGAGAAGCGCTTGAGGCACTTGGAGCACTGGAAGGGCTTTTCGCCACTGTGCAGCCGTTTATGTTCAGTCAGATGGTGCTTGTGCTTGAACGCTCTGGGACACTCCACGCATTTGTACGGCCTTTGCCCTGAAATGGTTATAATTTCGAATTAATTTTGCGTAACAAAAATTTAGAAATTTTGTCAATTTTGATTATATTACTAACTAATGGCTGGAAATGGTTAACATTTCGTGGGTTACATATCGAGAAGAGAGAGAGAGAGAGAGAGAAAGAGAGAGATTGCTTATTTTCTAAACCAATTATTTATAAATACATACTGGAAATAGAATATTACCTTTAGATTCGATATACCTGACTGAATATCGGAAAAAAATCGCTCCTTTCGTAAAAAAAAAAATTTTTTTTTTAAATAATTAGATAACAAGTCTCATTACAGCAAGTCGTAGAAGTTTGTGATGGTAGTATAACTATTGACTCACCGGAATGTTCATACTTATGTCTCGCGAGGGAACTGTGTTTGGAAAATGTTTTGTCGCACCGATCACAGAAATAAAGACCTTGCTCGGTTTCCGTTGCTATAGGGGTTGCTTCTGGTTGAGGTGTAGCCTCATTTTCACCTTTCACGTTTGCTTGATTTTGACTCTAACGGATAAGACACGACTTATATTAGGTTTTGTAATAAATAATTTGGGATTTTCCCTCGGAAAATCCATTAGAAAACACGGAATTGCTTATTACACAACCTAATAGAACTCATTTCTGCAAGATTTCAGATATGATAATTTACAAGTTTGTTTAGTACTCAACCAACCAATGAACACATATTACGGACTGAAACATAATATACACCGTGAAACAATATTAGCAGATAAGTTAAAATATCATGTCTAGCTGCAATCAGGCTTCTATTGGCCATTAATTTTCATTAGTTGGTTCTATAATTTTTATCTCTGTTTCTTATTTTTTATTTTTAATCTAATATTACCTTCGCGATTATCTCTCCGATAGGGGGTGTACGCTTGACTTCAAGAGGGTCAGTAGTAGTTTCTTCGTCAATGACGAGAGGCGAATCCTCAAGATCGTCGTTGTCGACGCTCGGAGCTGGATTATCATCCTTCTGCTCACAAGGCGACGAAGTATTTCTACTCGACGTATCGCTTTCTTTGGTCGTCGATATAGCAAGCGCTTCCTTTTTAGAGAGATCCAAAGGTTGCTCGATTACAGTCTGATTTCTCGATATTGTTAAAGGTACCAGACCTGGCATTTTCGACTCCCTTCGGTCCCTGGCTCGAGAATTTTGAAACCAAACCTATAAAACAATTGTATAATTATAATATTATATTATAATTATAATATAATATCTTTAATTTAAATTATTTTTCATTTTAATACATACCTGTACAACACGAGTAGGAAACTTAATATAATCAGCGATCATATTGATCTCTTCTTTCTTAGGACGCGGGTTAATAGCGTAGTAACCTTTCAGAACAGCCAACTGTTCATCATCTATGAGAGACCTAGCTCTCACCCGCCTACCATTGTCGTTGTGAGTTTGATTTCCTTCATCCTCATCCTCCGAATCTACCTCAGAGCTGTCCTCTCTTTTTCTCTTATAGACTGATCTCGACGTCGGTTGATTGACGTTCTCGAGCTTTGCGGCTAAACCTTCACTCTGTGAATCATATTGGTCCGTCGCAGCCCAGTCCGGACAATGTGTCATCTCACTGGACATTTCACTATCTTGATCCTACAAATAAATTTTCGATTTATTGACGTGAGAAAATACTATTGTTCGTGTGATAAAAAAATTCGAGCGAAATAAATATTTGGAGACGGGACTGAATATGGCAAGAATAATATAAAATTAGCTACTTTCTACGGTTGTATCTTAATATATCTTAATGTATCTATCTTAATATATGTTAACAAAATGAAAAAAAAGCAATACAAATTTATTAAAATAGAAAATGTGATACAATATATTGATTCTAACTGGATTAATATCAGCTAAATAATTACCATTTAAAAAAATTAAAATTGGCTCTAATGTATTAAATACAATAAAAAATTAAAGGAAAGAGCATTTAAGAGCCAGGCACAGTTGTTAGAGTACAATCAATATATTACAATGTAACGAAGACTAAAAATACAGATTTACATTTTGACCCGACTTGGGTCCTCTTTTCAAACAAGAAAAAACAATAGGAAAGAAATAAAAGTCAACCGTTGCGGAAGACCAAATCCTAAAGTAAAGCAACACAAAAAAAGTTAAAAAATCGCAAATTAGAATATAGGTCAAACTTGTGTACGAACAAAAGTTATAAATTCTCTCTCCATGGTCAAACCAAAAACGAAAAGTGGCCAACAACGTCTAGGTAGACTAGACAACAACGTTTAGTAACTAAATTTATAATGGCATATTTATATTCTTTGTTGTATTTTCCTTTCTCTGTGCTTAATTGACGTGTATTTTTGTCTTATCCGAATTTTTTCAACTTTTTCTTTCATTTAAATTAAGCATGTTTAATTGCACGGAGGATCATGTCGTTCAACTTAGTTGGTGCTGCATCGTCTACTTAAATGTTGTTGGCCACTTTTCGTCTTTGGTTTGACCATGGAAAGAGGATTTATAACTTTTGTTCATACGCGACTTTGACTTATATTCTAATTTGCGGTTTTTTTAACTTTTTTTGCGTTGGTTTACTTTAAGATTTGGTCTTCCGCAATGGTTGACCCTTGCACTTGTACTTTTATTTCTTTTCCATTGTTTTTTCTGAAGAGGATCCAAATTAAGTCGAAACGTAAATCTGTATTTTTAGTTTTCGTTACGTTGTAATATATTGATTGCACTCTAACAACTGTGCCTGGTTCTTAAATGCTTTTTCCTTTAACTTTTTTATTGTATTTAAATAATTATTATTAACTAATAAATGCTTTCTTCTTTGCCATTCTTTTTCGCGTTGAATTTCGCTAACGCTACGTACTTGGTAATCCTCTTCAAACTCTCGCTTCGTCGTAGACGGAGACGTGGAGACGTAGAGCTTTCGCACGTTCGCTTCTAGCAGTTGCTTCGTGACGGAAGTGTTCACGGTCTCTAGAATCCGCCGGACAGCGTCGAGACCCTGGGAGTCGACTGGCGCAGGGGACTCCTTGCCCTCTGTACCCTCCGTTCCTTCAGAATCCGCTGTTGATGGACTCAATACTTCCTGGTGCGTCTCGAACTGCTCGGTAAGCTCGTCGATTCGCTTAACATGCAACTGATGTAGGAGTTTGCCTAGTGAAGTCTGCAGGAAATAACTTCCCAAGCCGATCATTGAGGGTAGCAAGGACGGCGACATCTCGTAAACACCTGAATATTTGAGTATTTATCTATATAAATTTTTTCAGTGGAAATATCGACGAATGTTATATATGACTTATATTTATTATATATTATATTATTCACAATTTTAGATAAAATAAATATTTCATTTACATATGGTTTTCAAAACTAAAATGCGTAAAATCCATTTATGAGATCCTTTTTGAATATGCGGTCATAGCTAAAGTGGGGTTATAGACTCCATTTTCTAGTTCAGAATATCTGATATATCTTTATAAGCAAGATTCCGATTAGAATTTCACGAAAGTAAAGTCCGTCTGACATTAATCGGAAAATATGGTCTTGTTATTCATCTGAAGTTAATATACGGAAAGCATATTGATATTTCTTTCTTTTAATCATTTATGAGATTCAGAATATCAATACTTTCATATCCTAAAGGTATTTAAAAAAAAGTTATTTCAAATTACTTACTAAATTTTTAGATAAAAGAAATAACAAGAGTACAAATAAATATAAAAAAGTATACATTGAAGAATATATTGAAAAAAGAGAAAAAAAAAGATATATATATATATATATATATATATATATATATATATATATATATATATAT